AATTTCATTGAATGTCCCCTTGTTCTTGTATTATGAGACAGAGAGAACAGAAGCTCCCAGTCCGCCTTCTCTATACCATGGTCAAATATCTACTACTGGTGGAGATTAATCTATTTATATTAATCATAATAACTGTAGAGTTGATATTATTATAGCTATTATTATTTGTATTATCGTATTGCCTAGGTCCCACAGTGCAAGGTACTGCACATATTCAGAACAAAAAGACAGGTTTCAGAGTAACAGCCGTGTTAGTCTGTATTCGCAAAAAGAAAAGGAGTACTTGTGGTACCTTAGAGACTAACCAATTTATTTGAGCATAAGCTTTGATGAGCTAAAGCTCACTTCATCGGATGCATACTGTGGAAAATACAGAAGATGTTCTTATACATACAAACCATGAAAAAATGGGTGTTTACCACTACAAAAGGTTTTCTCTCCCACCACCCCACTCTCCTGCTGGTAATAGCTTATCTAAAGTGATCACTCTCCTTACAATGTGTATGATAATCAAGGTGGGCCATTTCCAGCACAAATCCAGGTTTTCTCCTCCCCCACCCCCCCACAAACCCACTCTCCTGTTGGTAATAGCTTATCTAAAGTGATCACTCTCCTTACAATGTGTATGATAATCAAGGTGGGCCATTTCCAGCACAAATCCAGGGTTTAACAAGAACGTCTGAGGAATGGAGGGGGGATAGGAAAAATCAAGGGGAAATAGGTTACCTTGCATAATGACTTAGCCACTCCCAGTCTCTGTTCAAGCCTAAGTTAATTGTATCCAATTTGCAAATGAATTCCAATTCAACAGTCTCTTGCTGGAGTCCGGTTTTGAAGTTTTTCTGTTGTAATATCGCAACTTTCATGTCTGTAATCGCGTGACCAGAGAGATTGAAGTGTTCTCCGACTGGTTTATGAATGTTATAATTCTTGACATCCGATTTGTGTCCATTTATTCTTTTATGTAGAGACTGTCCAGTTTGACCAATGTACATGGCAGAGGGGCATTGCTGGCACATGATGGCATATATCATATTGGTAGATGTGCAGGTGAACGAGCCTCTGATAGTGTGGCTGATGTTATTTGGCCCTGTGATGGTGTCCCCTGAATAGATATGTGGGCACAGTTGGTCTCTTGGTTTTTGGTACTGTTTCTCTCCCTCTATGTGTGAAACTTTCACGCTGCTAATTGTCTTAGTACATTCTAAGACAGAGTCTGTTCTCAAAGCAATTCACAGACAGAGAGACTCAAAGCAATACTCTAACAACGGAAACAGCACCCAGAGACTACCCGCCCTTTTGTTGTATTAACAATTGTGATTAAAATAGAGATAGAGGATGTATGCGGATGGATGCTTGGTGTGGATAATAACTGAATGATCAGGGAGGTGCCAGCCTAAGAATCCAGTGTCCATCGGATGAAGAAGGCGTCAAGTGGAAATAACCAGAGGACCCCCGGAGGGCAGACTGGAATCCACCCAACAGCCTCAAGAATGGGAGAACCGAAGAACAAGATAACATCTAGCAGCACGGAGCTGTCAGGAAGGTGCTATTTGCTGATTGATTCAGCAACAGCATGATGAAGCAATTCCCATAGACTGGCATAGGAAGAAATTCCTATAAAAATAGACTCTAAAAAGTGAAAACTTTGGGGTCTGATTCTGCAAACCAACTTCCAGGAGCATCAGATGAGCATCTGACAAGGCCCTGCACCCTCCTCATGTCCAGGCCACCTGGCCAGTGGCTTGGCATGAGCAACTCTAAGGCTGGTAACTATGATAACAACCTTGCAGAACCTGTGTGTGTGTTTGTATGAATGAATGTGTGAATATATATGAGATTGAATGGAATGTTATAGCTGTAACTAACTGCTTACTATGATTCTTTCTGTATTCACAATAAATGTGGTATTTTGCCTTTTTCCCTTTAATAAGATCCTGCTGGTTTTTAATGTATTGGTATAACGCTTCAGGATAGGTTGTAGATCCTTAATAATGCGTAGGAGGGGTTTTAGTTGGGGGCTGAAGGTGATGGCTAGTGGCGTTCTGTTATTTTCTTTGTTAGGCCTGTCCTGTAGTAGGTGACTTCTGGGAACTCTTCCTGGCTCTATCAATCTGTTTCTTCACTTCTGCAGGTGGGTACTGTAGTTGTAAGAATGCTTGATAGAGATCTTGTAGGTGTTTGTCTCTGTTTGAGGGGTTGGAGCAAATGCGGTTGTATCGCAGAGCTTGGCTGTAGACAATGGATCGTGTGGTGTGGTCAGGGTGAAAGCTGGAGGCATGTAGGTAGGAATAGTGGTCAGTAGGTTTCCGGTATAGGGTGGTGTTTATGTGACCATCGTTTATTAGCACTGTAGTGTCCAGAAAGTGGATCTCTTGTGTGGAATGGACCAGGCTGAGGTTGATGGTGGGATGGAAATTGTTGAAATCATGATGGAATTCCTCAAGGGCTTCTTTTCCATGTGTCCAGATGATGAAGATGTCATCAATATAGTGCAAGTAGAGTAGGGGCGTTAGGGGACGAGAGCTGAGGAAGCGTTGTTCTAAGTCAGCCATAAAAATGTTGGCATACTGTGGGGCCATGCGGGTACCCATAGCAGTGCCGCTGATTTGAAGGTATACATTGTCCCCAAATGTAAAATAGTTATGGGTAAGGACAAAGTCACAAAGTTCAGCCACCAGGTTAGCCGTGACATTATCGGGGATAGTGTTCTTGATGGCTTGTAGTCCATCTTTGTGTGGAATGTTGGTGTAGAGGGCTTCTACATCCATAGTGGCCAGGACGGTGTTATCAGGAAGATCACCGATGGATTGTAGTTTCCTCAGGAAGTCCGTGGTGTTTTGAAGGTAGCTGGGAGTGCTGGTAGCGTAGGGCCTGAGGAGGGAGTCTACATAGCCAGACAATCCTGCTGTCAGGGTGCCAATGCCTGAGATGATGGGGCGCCCAGGATTTCCAGGTTTATGGATCTTGGGTAGTAGATAGAATATTCCAGGTCGGGGTTCCAGGGGTGTGTCTGTGCGGATTTGATCTTGTGCTCTTTCAGGGAGTTTCTTGAGCAAATGCTGGAGTTTCTTTTGGTAACTCTCAGTGGGATCAGTGGGTAATGGCTTCTAGAAAGTGGTGTTGGAGAGCTGCCGAGCAGCCTCTTGTTCATATTCCGACCTATTCATGATGACAACAGCACCTCCTTTGTCAGCCTTTTTGATTATGATATCAGAGTTGTTTCTGAGGCAGTGGATGGCATTGTGTTCTTCACGGCTGAGGTTGTGGGGCAAATGATGCTGCTTTTCCACAATTTCAGCCCGTGCATGTCGGTGGAAGCACTCTATGTAGAAGTCCAGTCTGCTGTCTCGACCTTCAGGAGGAGTCCACCTAGAGTCCTTCTTTTTGTAGTGTTGGTAGGGAGGTCTCTGTGGATTAGTATGTTGTTCAGAGGTGCGTTGGAAATATTCCTTGAGTCGGAGACGTCGAAAATAAGATTCTAGGTCACCACAGAACTGTATCATGTTCGTGGTGACCAAACGCCACTAGCCGTCACCTTCAGCCCCCAACTAAAACCCCTCCAATGCATTATTAAGGATCTACAACCTATCCTGAAGGATGACCCAACACTCTCACAAATCTTGGGAAACAGGCCAGTCCTTGCCTACAGACAGCCCCCCAACCTGAAGCGAATACTCACCAGCAACCACATACCACACAACAGAACCACTAACCCAGGAACCTATCCTTGCAACAAAGCCCGTTGCCAACTGTGCCCACATATCTATTCAGGGGACACCATCACAGGGCTGAATAACATCAGCCACACTATCAGAGGCTCGTTCACCTGCACATCTACCAATATGATATATGCCATCATGTGCCAGCAATGCCCCTCTGCCATGTACATTGGTCAAACTGAACAGTCTCTACGTAAAAGAATAAATGGACACAAATCAGATGTCAAGAATTATAACATTCATAAACCAGTCGGAGAACACTTCAATCTCTCTGGTCACGCGATTACAGACATGAAAGTTGCGATATTACAACAGAAAAACTTCAAAACCAGACTCCAGCAAGAGACTGTTGAATTGGAATTCATTTGCAAATTGGATACAATTAACTTAGGCTTGAATAGAGACTGGGAGTGGCTAAGTCATTATGCCAAGTAACCTATTTCCCCTTGTTTTTTCCTACCCCCTCCTACCTGCCGCCCCCGCCCCCCCCCGTTCCTCAGACGTTCTTGTTAAACCCTGGATTTGTGCTGGAAATGGCCCAACTTGATTATCATACACATTGTAAGGAGAGTGATCGCTTTAGATAAGCTATTACCAGCAGGAGAGTGGGGTGGAGGGAGAGAAAATCTTTTGTAGTGGTAAACACCCATTTTTTCATGGTTTGTATGTATAAGAACATCTTCTGTATTTTCCACAGTATGCATCCGATGAAGTGAGCTGTAACTCACGAAAGCTTATGCTCAAATAAATTGGTTAGTCTCTAAGGTGCCACAAGTACTCCTTTTCTTTTTTCAGAACAAAAAGATTATCCATGCCACAAGAGCTGAATGTTATTCAACATTACATTTGAGGATGAGCAACTGACCTTCAATTATTAATTTAGAACTTTCAAGAAATACCTAGAAATTGCCTGTTCTTCATTATTTGAAGGAAATTCTACCCAGTCCCACATATGTAGTTCAGCAAAGCCAGTACAGAGGAACAGAAGTGAGAGACAAGATGTGTTCAGGAAAGGAAGCACATAAAAAAGACCTGTTAGTGCATCACCCCTGAAAGAAGCCACCTGCTAGTAGCCACCCCAACAGAGATCATCCTTATATATTATAATGCCCATGAAAAATAACGAAAAGACATTACACTAGTCGGACAGTCCTTTCTTCATGTCCCATTTCTATTAGTAACTTTATGGTATATTAGAAGCAGCTTTCACAGCTCGGTGGAGGTCACTCTGCTTCATCTGACAGTCACTGTTTTGGCATAAACTTTTGGCTCATATCAATGCATTTCTATATTGACTCTGCTCAACACAGCATTGCTTTTTCTTGGTATAGGTTAAGAGTCCAGATCTATTGCCAGGAAAATCTGTTTCCAAAGATACAAGAAGTCGTGTTAGATGCATGGTCTGCCTACTCGAAGCCGGTGCCTTCAAGCTGCAGTGAGCTCCTGACTTTGTTTCTTCAGTGCTGCTGCATTGCCTTGCTGACAGGTGGCCTCCTCTACAACTGGATGTTCTCCTCACTAGAGTATCCATTTCACCTCTCCTTTGCAACTGCGGTTTCCTTCAGTCTGCTACTTCTACTGATCCTCTTCTTGGTGCATCCTATCCGCTGCATGTTCACCATAATCATACCTACGTTGGGCACTAAACAAGGACGGAGGCTGCTCTTGTCCACCTGCTTCATGATCGTGGCAGTTAATATCTTACCAAACATCATGGACAACATTAAAACCATACTGCAGGTTATTAAATGCATTTGCAAGGATTCCTCAGACAGCCTTTTGAACTCAACAACCCTGCTGGGAAAAGCTTCCATGCAGTTTGGTCACCAGATCAAAGAAGTCACTGACAAAATGGCAGATAACTCTCTGAAGCCCAGGAATGGACATTTTCAGTATGCTGTGAATCACAGTAGTTCCTTGGTGAGGGACCAAGTGCTAATTGCTAGTCAGAAGATCAAGGATGATTTCTCTGCTGTCGAATTGCTGGTCAAACAGGCATTGCTGGTAGCCAACAGGGTGGCTGCTGGCTTCTTCCTGTTCTATCTCCTTTTTGAGTCCGCTTGGTATTTGAAAAGCTATCTCACCAACCTCCAATTTGACAATATTTACATCACCAAAAAGCTGGAGGACTTGGCTGTGGACAAGAAAGCAGCCCATCTGCTGACATGCTCACCCAAAAAACTGATCAGATCCACAGGCTTGAAGCTGTCCCGGGAGGAAAAGATGGTGTGCCTGGTGCGCATGATGCTCCTCACTTTGGTCCTGATGCTGACAGCGGTGATCATAGCAACGGACTACATCGCCTTCCACTTGGCAGATACAGCAATGAATGAGGTGGCTCAGTTTCCCAGGGTGCCCATAACGCTCAACATTAAATATGATGTAAGTAGCAGAGTCCCTAGCCTGGCCCTTTAAATAAAGGAATGCCCAGCTTTTCTCACCAGCCAAAGCTACATTTGTCTGAGCTGTTCTATTGCCAGCTGCACAGATAGAATGGATGCAGGACAGGGACATATGTACTCTCACAGCCTGCCTCCAGCACATATAGTTATAGGGTGAGGAGACAGCAACTGTGAAAAAACGGGACAGGGGGTGGGGGGTAATAGGCACCTATATAAGAAAAAGTCCCCCAAAATGGGACTGTCCCTTTAAAAATGGGACATCTGGTCACCATATATAGTTATATAAGGCAACATTATGATCAGGGCCGTCCTTAGGCATAGGCAGCATAGCGGCTGCGAAGGGCACCCGAAAATTTGGGGCACCCCTGGGTCTTAGTGTCCACCCTTCCACCTCTTCCTATCCCTGTTCTGACCCTTCCTGCAGGCTCCCACAGCTGGCTGCTGCAGCCTGGTGACTCTTACTCTGGAGGGGATCTAGTAACTTAAAAGTGGAAAAGCCTTCCAGCCTGCCAGACCTATTAGCACTACACTGAAACTGTTAAAGAGCCATTCAAGTGGTAATGAAGCCATTTAACAGGCATTTGCCAACCCCCAGGTATATACTGTCAGTTTCTGAATTTACTGACAAAAACAGTTGTGCATTACTGTCATATTTACTCAGAACATGTTAGTCTACAGGACCTTAATTGAAAATTTGCTTTAAATATATTTCACTAGTGTGTTGCTGAAGGTGATAAAATCACATCTCTAAAAAATCCTTGCATAGATTTTTAGATGCACAGTCTTGAGTATTGATCTTTAGCCTTAAATGCTTGGATCTTCAGACATATAGTTTTTTAAATAAATCATTCAAAGGACCACCCTTATCTAAAATACACATTTTAATTTTAATAACTGTAGTACAAAAAACTTGCTTCCAAAATCTTCCTGTCCTTTCTGTCCATCCCTTTCTCCCTTCGCACCCCTGTTGAAGAGAGCCCTTAAAGAGACAACATCCTTTCCTGCCAGATAGCTGGACAAACGAGTTTCCCTTTCTTTACTTCTGACTATTTGATGAACGAGTTTTAAGAGAACCCTATAGCAAAATCAGTACCTTAGTAAGATATAACATCCTTTGTTATGCCTAAAATCTTTGGAAACATATTTTTTGAAGTTGGTGAAGTTTCATGAACATGTCTATTGTTATGGAGATCACACAAAGTAATCTTAGTGTTCCCTGTTTCTAAAAGCGGCGAACATTGTTATGAACACACTAAATCGCTGTGACTGATTAATTTAAAATAATGTCTTTGTTTCAGTGAGTTAAATATGTAGTAATCTGGAATGATTACTTTATGAAGGCTTAAGAGTACATTTAAAATATAAAATCAGCTCAGGAATTCTGATTAAAAAAATGTAAAACAGAGAAGAGCTGCATCATGTATTCCATAACATTTAATGTTGTAGTCAGCAGGGCAGCTGACTTGCCCTTACTACAAAGTTTTTGCAAATAAATCTCTGACAAACTTCAGGGCATATCAAAAAACCCATGCCTGACATTTTTTATTCCCAAGCTTAGTGCTTTTAATTAGGTACCTTCTGCATGTCCAGTCTTCACCTTCTGGCATGCAGTGGAAAACATGCTCCATTTTCTTTAGAAAGAAATTGCAGAAGAGTGTTTTTTTCAAATGTCATTTGCTTTGTTTGAGTTCAGGGATTTGGCTGGTAGGGGGTGATCAGGGAGGGGGAGGGAAGAGAGGAGGGAGAGAGGAGGGAGAGGGCGGGGCCTGGGCAGAGTGGGGGCGGGACGTGGAGCAGAGCAGGGGTGGAGTATGGGCGGGGCCACAGGCAGAAGAGGTGGGCTGGGGAGCTAGCCTCCCCAAGTGGTAGCTTCACCCATTGCCCATGACAGCAGGTAAGAGCGGGTCGGTTCCCGCACACCCAGTGAGCACTGCAGTGTCCTTAGGCAGGGGCCGTATTCACAGAGCCGAATGCACCAGCGCCGTGCATTCTGCATGAGGGAGAGGGTATGGGGGTTTCTGCGGGGAACTGTGAATCTCTGCTGCCATGAGATGGGCCGGGCATCTCGGTATCCTTTGCTGCCTCCCCCCTCTCCCCTGGGCTGTGAGCCTGGGCTGCTGTCGGCTGGCCGTAGGGGCACCAGTTTAATAATACTGTGTAGGGTCCCACAAAGCCTAAGGTTGGCCGTGATTGTGATCTCTCCTGTGCCCTCAACTCCCACTAGTATCAGTGGCAGCTGAAGACAGCCAACAACCTGAAAGAGCAGGGTTTCTAGTACAACCACTCCCGCTGTAGAGATCACTGCTGAATCACATGTGGTGCATTAACAAATAAAGGACAAAACTAGCCCAGCGTTTGTGTTTAACCCCATAGGACAAGTGAGGAAGTCACTGATCAAGCAGCTGATGTGGAGATGAAAACTTTCACTTTGAAAGCATATGTTCTTGTAGGGATTGCCCTTAAGGGTCTTTTCGGGGATTCTGGGGTAGTACAGGGGGAGGGGTGAAGCAAAATCCAAGAGAATCAGTCATGCGGTGTCAGTCATTCAGGGCAGGAGCATCTCTTGCCCTCATGCCAGTACAGGAGAGTCAGGCAAACACTTTGCACCTCTTTACTCTCCTCTGTGCAAGTAGGATGACCAAATAGCAAGACAGAGCCTGATAATATCGGGACGTCCGGTCCCCCTATGTGCAAGGCTACCTGTATTGTGAGTCATAGAGCAGGGAAGGAGGGAAAGCAGTCTCTGTGGGGTCAGTAACCCCACTCCTGTGCAGATGGGCAAGGAATGGGTGAGTGGGAGGCATGGAATGGGCACACCTTTGGTCCCTGTCCCACCAAATGCTCTGGGGGCCAGTGTGTATAGAACAGTAGCAAGGAGGGGACCAGGGAGCAAACTGTGATTCCGACTGTAAGATACAATCTAGCCCTTAGAAAGCATCGTGGATACTCTGCAGTGAAATGAGGTGCTGGAATGCCACCCTGTGTCCTCTACATCCTGCCTCTAGTCTGGGACAAGTGGGCTCTCGGTGACGGGAAGAAAGAACAGTTTATTAGAAAGAGGAATGGGGCCCTTCCCACCTCTTCCCTGAGTTGTGATTGCACTGACTGAATCATAGCTCCAGAGACCCACTCGTATGACAGCGGGGAAAGTTTTACCAGGAGACATTTACATGATAATAATTATGGGGATCTACCACTTAGGAATATGGGAGTCACCAAAGCAGAGCAGATCAATGGTTCATGTAGTCCAGTGCTCTGTCTCAGAGACTGGCTAGCATTGGATTCATAGGAATTGTGATTTATTATTTATACAATGCCCAGAGTTTGTTAGACACTTTTACAATCACACAGGCCAAGAGCATGACCCCTAGCTCTCAGCAGCAGTCTCACTGGAACTGCTCCCCACTCTGAGTAAGGGATTCACAAACTGGGATAGACAGAACAGCCCTCAATGTACAGAGACACCAGAAAATCAAGGAGGAGGGTCGGGGGATGGGATGCAAAACCAGATTTGGTTTTAATCAGTTCTGTTTTCAGTTTTAAAATGTATTTTTCCTTTTTCTTTATTAACCCTTTCCTGTTCTGTGTTTAAATTCATGCCCAGTTGCTTTTTAATGGTCAGTCAGGACACAGGCAAACAAACCCTTTTGGGCCCTCTCCAGTTTCAATATATTTTTTATTCCTCTACCTATTTTCATTTTTTCTTGTTTTTTAGCTTTCCTGTTTTAATTATTCCCCCCCCCTTTCCTTTTTTGGGATGCTCCAGTCGCCGGTGTAATCCTCCCATCACACACTTAACTGGGCAAGTCTACATTTCTTCCCTAGCCACCACTGGCAAGCAATTTATAGCCAGAAACCTGTGGACTGAGAAACTAGTTAACCTTCATGCTAGAGGGTGTAACTGCACATGCCATTCTTTGCTATAAGAGTTTAATGTTTTTATGACTCTTATCACCTCAAACAGTTTACTGCTATTATAATTATTGTGGCAGCAGCTAAGACCTCAGGCAGGATCCTACTGCATTGTGCTAAACAGCGTACGCCCATGTAAGCATATTATCTAGTCACAGCCTGAAACCTACTTGCATTTTTAGCTCCCAATCTTACCAAACGTGTACAAAATTTAATTGTGATTCTTACATTGCCGAGTTGCTATTTTTGTACTTGCCAGAGTGTGGTTGGGTTTTTTCCATCTTCCCGTTGAATCTATTATTTTGTTTGTTTCAGGCTAAAATAAACATTCTGCCCTTTATCTGGAAAATTTTCAATGGAGTCACTTCTGGAGAACAATCCATTGTGAACTTCGAAAGAACTTACCAGCAGAATCTGACCTTCATCTCTGCCGATTGCACAATAAAACGGCCAAGCCCCCCCAACAACTTTGTGGCCCTTGCTGTCGGAATGCTCTATTGCATCATCTATGCCATGATCTTTCTGGAAACGTACGCACAACGTTTGTGCCGAAAAATCTCTGCCTCCTTCTTTGAAAGACAAGAAGAGCAGAGAGTCCAGCACCTTTACAGAGAGCTATTAAGGAAACACAAGAAGAAGGAGCAGCAACTGAAGCAGGGGATTTGTAAATCTCTGGCATGCTAGCATTCCTGGGATGCTATGACAGGAGATGACAAGGACGCTTTAGGCGCTATGCCATGACAATCTTTTTTTGGATAGTTCAGCCTGGGTTTTGTCTTCAAAGTCAGGGGTAGGGAATATATGGAATATGGGCACAAAACTACAAACATCCCAAAATCTGAGGGTTTTGTATTTTGCTTTAGTGTTGCAAAAATGGCCAAGTTTTATGGTTACTTTTTTTTTTTTGCTCAGCTCCAGGACCATTTTACAACAAAATTGGTTCTATTATAAGCAAAAAACCCCAACATGTTCAAGATTTCAAATTTTAGTCTGATGCAGAGCAAATTTGGCCTCAAAACATGCAAAAATGAAAACAATTTTGCATATTTTTATGCAAAAACCATAAAGTCACAAAAATGTCAAGAAAAGCACAATTTGACTCTAATAAAATGTCCTGGAATTAAATTTTGCGAAAAGATCTTGCTGTTTTTGCCCAGCCCTAACCAGAATGTATTTGTGTAAAGTGATAGTCTGTTTCACTTGTGCTATGTTAAATATTTATACATTTTGAGAGAGAAATTGCTTAAAACTTTATTGATCTATGGAGAGAAATATGTAACTTCCTGTCCAATGACTGGCATTGGCATGGAATGTCCTGGTTATTGTCTATTCTTCACTAGGGGTGATGTAACCCACAGCCACTCAGCGTCTCCTCCTAGTGGTGACTGGGCCACATACAGAAGTTGACGAGCCTGTTGCAGCCTCAGTTAACACATTTCGCTCAGGCAAAAGGAGCTTACGCTTTTAGATCCAGAGATCCCAGATGCAGACACACCCAGAGAGATGTCATAACACTGACACTAAATGAAAATGGGGTTTCAACAACTGACCTGCCGTTATCAAGCACTATAGGGTATGTCTATGCTGCATTTTGGAGCGAGCCTCCCAGTGCAGGTTGACAGACTCCGGGTAGCGGGGCTCAGGCTGTGAAGCCCACGCCCCCGGCTTCAGAGCCTGAACTCCTGCCTGAGTCGCAGCTTCCCAGCTTTGTCTACATTGCTATGTTTAGAGCACTAGTGTAAGCTCCTCTAGCCTGAGTCTGTTGACTACCCCCGGGTATTCACGCCTCCACACTACCGTAATAATTTTTGTACAAAGTATGCCTCGCAAGGATGTCGTTGGCAAACTCAATTTACTGGTCGGTATTGGCCTAATAAAGTATGTGTGACAAAGTTGCAAGATCTCCCTGTATAAAGTTATTCGCACATGTTTCAAACCCTACAGCCCTGCACAGACAGAGGTTGACAAACAGGTCTGTCTTAGGCAGAGGAATATGTGCTCTGCTTAATTTGCATTTAAGCAGTAAACAGTGTCGTCAAGCAAGAAGGGAAACAAACAAAGCTCAAACAGGTGAGAAAAAGCTGGCAAGGAACCTCCTCCCTCATAGACTCTTTATTTCCTAGTGCCGAGCCGGAAATGTTTTTTTCAAGAGGGGGACTGAAACTGTAAAAAGGAAGGACAAACTCTCCCAGGTACCCCCTCTCTCCATCCATCCCTTTCACTGCACCTGAAGCAACAAAGGAAGCATTCCCTGGACTCTGGGGGAGGGTCCAGGCCTACAGAGATTGATCAGTAAGACTGATGAAAGCCTGTGGTGCGAAACTTTGCTTGAATCTGATATAGTTTGTCAAGTTAGGTGTTAGCAAACATTCAATCTTTATTAACTACAAAGAGAGAGATTTTAAGTGACTACAAGTACTGAGGCATAAAAGTCAAAACGGGTACAAGAAAAATAACCTTGTTTTACTGTTTTATCTAATGCAGTATGTTTAAATTGGAGTGTCTGAATAACTAGTTGCGATAATAAAATGGCATATTATTCCCTTTAAATATTTTGTACTGTCCAGGAGAGAGCTGAGCAGTACAAGACATACATTTATGGGGGGGAGATCTGGGGCTGGAAGTGAGTTGGGGTCACCCTGCAGTATAACTCAGGCTGGTGAGAGCCAGAGTGTAACCCAAGTGTGGCGGGCAGGCTGCAGCTACACACAGACACTCAGGGTGTAGCTTGCATGCTGGAAGGCTGTTTGTGAGTGGCCCAGGTGGGAACTATGTCAGCAAGGCATTGTAAGGCACCCATAGATGCAGGACAGGGGTGACACATCTACTCATTAGTCTGGATTGTACCCTGGCATGTCGTCACAGAGGCTCACGCCAAAATGCTGTGTAGACATAGAGTACTCCAAGGGCTTGTCTACACTAGAGTTAATTTGGATTAAATTAAATTAAATTCCTGGTAAAAGTGGTTTAAAATAATTTGGAATAAGGCACTCTTAATCTGGAATAAGAGCATCCACACAGGGAGATAATCAGAAATAGGTCAACTAGAATAACTCCCCATGTAGACAAGCTCTAATATGGCCTGCAGCTACAAAAGGAGGCTGGCTGCTATTTCAGGGCTTTGGTCTATAGTGTAATATGAACTTCTAAAATCAGGTTGGGTCTACTGAATTTAGGAGATAAAACCAAAAGAATGGGAAGTAGATTCAAAATAGCTAATAAATGAGCTACCCAAGGTTAAGTGTCATGGCAGAGGTGTGAGAATCCCTGAACATTTTCCATGTGAGGTGGCAACTCTTGCTGTTCACACCAGATCTCTCACTGGAAGAGCACCAGAAGGATTTTAACAATATCATCACCAGCAGAAGTGAAATCCATAACTGAGTGGCCCCCATATATGCACTGTGATAGGGGAAAGAGAGGAGCACAGAATGGGTCAGTCAGACCATGACATCTTCCCTGAGCTGAATGATTAAGTCTGACACCTGTGCCCTTCTCCTTCTGAGCTTTGCATTCTCTGTCATTAAGAAAGTAAGGGAAAGAGTGGGAGTGGAGGAAGATACCACACATTGGTGGCTATTCAAAACTCCCATTCCCCTGGCTACCCATTTGGGAACCTCTGGTGCACGTACTATAAGTTATCTAGCAGTGTGCACAGCTAGAAATTAATCTAACCCTCTTGCAGTTCTTGCCTGAGTATTTTGCCGGGAATGAATTAGCCTGACGGAATTTTTTGCTAGCAAGTTCAGTATTTCTCTAATGTGTAGAATTGTATCCATATAGTGTGAGCATTAGGCATCCTCAGACATTGCTAGCCCATGGCTACACATTCAGCAACTATCAGCTGGAAAATGTTGTCATGGGAATATTGTGTGATAAATGGAATGAGTTATTGCTTTGCTGAAGACATACATTTAGTCCATATAAAAATCCTGGCTTTCTGCCCCCTGCACCATAAAAATATCCTAAAAATGTGACTGAGTGAGATCTCTCCCTCCAAAAATTTCCAAAGCCATAATATACAGTTAATTTCTTACACTATTGCCCCTGCGAGGATACATCAGCACTGGACTACATCTCACTCCTAAAAGGGCTAGGCTATCTATTAGGTTGTGTCTATTTTGACAATCGTAGTAATTATGTTATAACTAGATTTTAAATCTTTTCTCAGTGATGACAGCTGAGTACACCATCTTACTCTGGAAAATTATCTTAGCCCCTTCTCACATAGCTGGATAAGTCTCTTCCACTCATCCCCTAATGAGAGACTTGGAAAAAAAGAAAACACGGAGCAGAAGAGCAATCCAACATTGCAAAATAAAAAGGGATTTAGCACTATCTGGGAAGAGGGCACTTGACGGTTTGTTATGTATATATATTTTTAAAGGACCTAAGGGCCTCTAATCTTCTGTTTCAGTTCAGACTAAGATTTCGCTGACTCTTTTCATCGTGCTGCTGGGGAGGTGAGAAGATTCAGTGTGAGGGATTGAAAATGCAGAGTGGGAGGCCAATATGAGAGGCAGATGACAATGAGGAGCAATTAAGTGTCAGGGCTGAATGATGCCAGGTGGGCAGATTCTGTTGTTTCCATGGGGCAGGTTTGTAGAGCATCAGAAAATGCCTGTGAGCAGGAGCTGCGAGTGTCAGTTGGGAAAATGTACCAACGCGTGACATTTCAAGGAGAGGTTTTAAAAATACCTATCTCCCACTGAACCATTGTGGAGAGAGGGCGCTTCAAAGCCGATCCTGTCAGCAAGATGATCAAGGTATCACTAGCAATCTGAAACATGTACATGGTTTTACCCTCCCATGGGTAATATTATATACAGACAGACACTCCTGGGGTGTGTGTTGTGTAGAGGAATGGGGTAGTCTCTTTAAGTAGTCTGTGATCCCTCCTAGTAGTGCTCACTGTGTTCTATGTTTTAGAAGCTGCTAGAAACCAGCCAGAGCAGTACAGACCTCGGTGTGACATTTTTGTGTGTATTTAGTAAATATGGTTATTTGGACCCCACTGTGCTGATGTGATGTTTTCCTATTATATTTCTTGTGTAAAGAGCAAAAGACACAACAGAGGACATTTCCAAGGCACAGATATCAGTTAGGTGGTTAATGCCCAATGGCTTTCAATGGAGATTAGGCACCTAACTCATTTGTGCCTTTGCAAATCTCATCTATAATCCCCACAGGGTACTTATGCCCCACAACAGAGTCAGTAGCACAGCTGGGGCTGCTAGAGAGATGAAGCAGGGTGTGAAAAAGAAAAACAAATTTTCAAGCATGACAAGTAGTTTTGGCATCTAAAACTGAGCCCACAATTCGGTGGCCACAAGTTAAGTGGGTATCTTGTTTTCACCATTAGTTTTTGTGAAGGTGGAAAGATGGATTGGCACATGCAAATTGGGTAGGATTATATGCACAAATGGTGATTCCGTGCACTAATCCTTGATTACCTATACAAAAATTAATGGCATGCCAGACGAAAAATTTCAGATGCAAAATTTAGGTGCCATTTTACTGGCTGTTTTTCAAAATTTGGCTCAGATAGTTCATTTTATTTCCTACTGGGCTCCTGTATGAGTCCCATTAGTGTGGTTTGTAATTAAGAAGAGATTTCAGGCTAGCAGGTGATTTGGGAGAGTGATCAATTCTTATTATAATGTTTCCC